CATTTGCCTCCTTTTTTTTTTTTTTGCAATTTAAATTCATTTTATATGTCAATGTATACTTTTATAGTTCTATATATATATATATATATATATATATATATAGTTAGATAGATAATGTGTATTATATTTATTATAAATAAAATATACATATAAATATGTTGTTTTTATATGATATATATATACTGTATGTGTGTGTGCGTGTGCGTGTGTGTATATGTATAATTATATTTATTATAAAGAAAAATAATGGCTATTTTACAGCAACTATATATATATATATTGAAGAATAAATCCCATCAGCGTAGCAGTTCTTAGTCCAAACGCTCTTCTGTAACTCTTTCCTGTCTTAATGCATGCACTTCAGTCGACAAGTTTCTCATAACAAGTACGGTTTTCATTGAAGGCATTCGATGGGAATAGAGATACAGAGGACTGGTCTTCTCCTGAGTGTGCTGAAAACCCATCTGACCCACACTTGGGAGAAGTTAAGACAGGTGCGAATTTGCATTTTCAACATTTCAGATTAAATAGATAAACTCTCACAAAACCTGTCTAGAATAGATTCTGGTCATATTTCACCCTAAAATCAAAAGAAAGTAGTAGTAATTTGTGCATAAAGAAATATATATTATTTTCATTATTTTCATCAATTAAGCACATTTTACCCACTCAAATGACTTATTGTAATTTGTATGTATGTATGTATATATATATATCTCAAATGTGTGTGTGTATATTATTTTATTGTATTATTTGTACTTACATTTGATCATTTTAAGTATTATTTTAATTCAGTTGTTTTACAGTGTATTATTTTATTTTATGTGTTTATTAATTAATTAATAATGTATTCATTTATTGAATTTTTTTTTTTTTTACAAATGTTATATTTTATTTTTGTTGTATTTTTTCTACATTTATTATTATTAGCTTAGTTTAGTTTAGTTTACTTGCCTGTTAAAAAAAACCCAACCCCAGCTCAACCTTTAATTGTATGACTTTTGTCAAATTCACTGATTTTCCCATTATTTAAGTCCAGGGGAGCTCACTCTAAGAGAAATAAACTAAAGAACTGAATAATTACAGTGTTTTCACATACATTTTACCTTTGTTCTGAATTGTCTTATGTATGCATATATATATATTGTGTGTGTGTGTGTGTATTTATATGTACATATATATTAGGGCTGCACAATTAATTGATTTTCTAATCGCAATTACAATTACGGATGCCACAATTACATAATCGTTCAAAGCAGCAATTAAAAGTCCACTTATGTTATTCTGCGTGCTTAAGAGGTGTTTTATTTCTTTCTTCAGGTTATCTTCAGGGTTTTATCATTGTTTTCATTTTAGTTTTAGTATAACATTATAATACCATGCATATTTTTACTTTTTTTATTTAAAGAAGAAACCAATCTGATGTATATTTGACATTTGTGGCTTAATATTATATAAAAGCAATAACATTTTTTCAGTTAGAGTGTTTTCAGCTTGTTCATTTTCACCTAAAAATACGGCATGCGGTTGCATCAAACAATGGTATAAACATCATTGAATGTAAATTGTGATAATCGTAAATTACAATTTCAAGGGAATAATCGGCAATTCTGATTTTTGTCATAATCGTGCAGCCCAAATATATATATATATATGTATACTCAAGAGTAAAACATCGGACCACATTAACGTAATGAGTTTTTTGAGGGGAAATGTGCTTTTGCTACTAAAATAATGCCATTTTCAAATATAATTTCTTATTTGCGGGTGAAATGTGATCTGCACATGTCTTTCATGAGATCCACCCTGTTGTGTAATAATTGTATGTTGCCTGTATATTATTGTCCTTCATGTGTTTGGTGTTAATCTGCAGGTGTGTTCGTGTTGTTTTTCTCTCAGGTTTTGTCCCGTTGGCCAGCGAGGGCCGGTTGGAGCCTGTAGCTGGTCCAGTTCCTCATCATTACCCAGAATCCTCCACCAGCGTCAGACTGCCCGAGGCCTTCACTTCTCCTGCCACACACTTCAGCCCCATAATACTGACTCATCCCCCGCAGTCTGAGCTGTAGGTCTGCAAAGAACAACTCACTGATTCTAGGAATCCCAGAATGCATCGTCATGTTGCAAACAATTGAGTCATCAGTGAATGTTTATTGAATCAAGGCCTTTGTTATTAGCCAAACTTGTGTTCATGAGATGCTGATTGTGTTTCATAAAGTATGTTATGTATCTTGGCCAATGTGTATTTTAGTAATAATTCATTTAATTTTATTTTAGTAGTAATTCATACCCTATTATAGATTTTATTAATATCTCATTATTTTATTAATTTATATTTATTGTATTAATTTTAGTTACATTTGAATAATTATGTTATGTGGGTTTTAATATTATTATTTAAGTTTAATAAAAAAAATTATTTCAGTTTTAGTTTTTATTTATTTTAATTCCAGTTAGTAATTTTAGTGCTTAAACTTAAACTAAACAAAAATTAGAAATGTTACCTTGGCAACTAACTGAAATAAGTTTTTCATTTAATATTTATTATTTTATTTTATTTTTAATTATTACTTTTAGTTTTAGTTAACGACAATAACCTTGATCTGGATCCCTAATGTTCTTGTTTTAATTATTTTTAAGGATTTAAGGATATTTTTATTTTACATTTTATTATTTTAATTTTATTTCTTTGACTTTGTTTTACATTTTATTATTGTTAAGTATTATTTTAATTTATTTTATTGAATGTTGTTTTATTTGTATTTATTTTTTTAATTTTAATTTTACATTTTATTATTTTTTTACTTTTTTTTATTTTATTATTTTCAAGTATTATTTAAATTTATTTGGTTATTTTTTTACATTTTATTATTTTTTAAGTATTATTAATTTAATTAATTTTATTGTATGTTGTTTTATTTTTATTTATTTATTTTCATTTTTATTTTACATTTTATTAATTTTTATTTTATTTTATTAAAATTGTTTAAATGTTATTATTTTCAAGTATTATTAAAATTGATTTGGTTACCTTTTAAAAACATTACATTGTATTATTTTAGTTTTTATTGTTTTAGTTTAGTTTAGTTTGCTCACCTGCGATTAAAAAAAACACTTCCAGCTCAACGTTTAATTATGATTTTTGTTATAAATTCACAGATCTTCGGCTTAAATGTTGCTGTGACAACTAACTGAGCAGTTTTTTCAATCTAATATTTATATTCATTATTATTATATAATATAATAATATTTTATTTAAGCTTTATTTCAATGAACAAAAATGTTTCAATGGTTTTAGTTAACGATAAAAACTCTGATCTGGAGCTCTGAAGTTGACTTTAAAACTGAACTCAGGTTTAAGTTCTAATGTTCTTGTTTATTGTTATTATTATTATTTTTAAGGATTGTCAGTGGACGCTCTGTTGAGGACATCGTGGATGAAACGATCCCGCGAGAGCCAGATGAACAGGAAGAGAGCGCCGCTGAGGATGATGTTTTCTCTGCCGGTTCTTCATCATCATCCAGCTGTAAGACTCTTGTTAATCCCTCGCCTCCAGCAGCTCTTCAAATAACCAATCAGGAAACAATCGACCAGACAAACTTCCCCGCCTTGTCTTGTGCTAATGGGATTTGTAGCAACTTCCTGCTACAGCAAGACCCGCAGACAGGACGTCTGACCCTACTTCCTGTTCAGATCGCCGTGCTTCAGCCAATCACAGGCGCGGATCACTTAAACAAGAAGCCAGCGAAACCTTCAGAGGACAGTATGAGGAGTGAAAGCGTCTGTGTGACCCGCAGAGACTCGGCAGTGTCTCCTGGAAGTCCAGTGGCAGATACTACAGTTCAGCCTCACTGTGTGAATCTCAGCTCACCTCAGAGATGCTTGTGTCTGCAGCACGTCATTGAGCTGCTCAGAGAACAGTTTGCTTCTGATGGCTACCTGGAGAATGGAGTCCAAGATCTGGCTATGGGTAAAAAATGAAATCACTCATTTTAATGTTTCTGTTTATTTTACCTAATTGTTGTTTATTTTTTTATTATAACATTTTATTTTATTTATTTTTATTTTTATTATTTTTACACGTTTTATTTTACTTTTTATTATTGTTTTATTTTAACACATTTACATTTTTCATTTGTTTTTACATTTTATTTAGCTGTACATTTTATTCTTATTATTATTTTTAACATTTTATATATTTAAGTATTATTTTAATGTATTGCTTTTAATAATTTTGTTCTAAAAATGTTTACATTTTATTATTTATGTTATTTTGTTGTATTTTTTACATATTTTATTATGCATATTAATATTATTTAACTTTTTTACATTTTATTAAGTATTATTTTAATTAATACATTTTTTATAACTTACATTTTATTATTAATTCGTCTCCATTTTTTTATTTTGTTTTTTTTTACAAATTTTACATTAAATTATTTTTATTTTATTATTTTTCTATTTTTTAGTTGACATATTATTCTTATTTTATTGTATTATTTTTATTCTACTTTTTTAAAATGTAGTTTTGTTTACTAAACTTTAGTTTAGTTTAAATTGTAGTTTAATTCACAGATTTTTCCATTAATTAAGTCCAGGGTTGCTCACTTTTTTCACTTTTCTAAACAATTGTTTATTTGTAAGTCAGTAAATAAATAAATAAATAATTGAATGAATAATTGTTGTGTTTATGTGAGAGTAGGCAATATATTTTTAGACACATTTACCTTCGTTTGAATTGTCTGAAGCAGTTCTTTGTGGGAAGAGTCTTGAAGGATCCCTCGTGACTTGTTGTGTGTCTCCAGGAAAATACATCTTCTCTTTAAAAACCCTCCAGTTTGAGAGCTTTTGTCGAGCGATGAGAGAGAAGTTCAGTGATCTGTACTGGGATCAGAAGCTGCTGTGTGACCTGCACCGTCTGATCAACCAGAACTCCTGCCGACGGTGAGCATCAGCCCAGATCTTTACCCGCTTTATCATCTGCCAGACAAGTCAAATAAATGCGTCCTTATTTAAGAATAATTCGATATTTCTACTGGAAAGTAAGACAGAAATACTAAGAAGAAAAATCCTATTTATTTATTTGTGTGTTTAGAAAAAAAACTTGAGAAAAACTTAATTGAAGATACACAGTTCTGCTTAAGTAGATTTTTC